GAGTTTTGTGCAAAATTAGCAAAACTAGTACAGTACAAATCTGCACAGAATATGAAAAAAAATCAATGATCAAAACGCTCTATGTTTCAAGAAAAAGGATTTATCGAACATAAAAAAATACATGTTGGTCGACTTGAATATTGCGTACTTGTTTAACTTACCCATTCATACAGCCTTCCCTTTTTTCCCCAAAAATATGTATTTATAATTAAATCGATTAATTATTTTTGTAAAAAAAATAACAAAAGTTAAAATTTAAGATTGTACACGTGTGCCTTGTTCTTAAGCGTGAATGTCCATAGCCGAGACAAAGCCCCCTCCCCCCTCCGTTTACGATAATGGTAGAATATTGAGAATGTTTACCCGTTCTCTTACTTTTTCTGTCTTGTGCACCCAATCTTAATTGTTTTTATTTGAACACGCATTTATTGAGATATACAAAAGGATTGGAAGAAAGTTTGACAACTTACAAGTTCCTCATTGAATTAAAGACTCATTTTAAAACGACACCCAAAGAAGAAAAGGAGAGAACCCTACTACAAGAGACACGTACAATTTTTTCATGGATGCTTATTCATGGATCCCGCACGACAATTTTGAATGGATTAAAATCTGTATCTAAAATTACATCGCAAAAATGTCGTAGTGTTTTTATGAAAAATCATAGGGGCTTGTCTTCCGGATTGTTGAATGTAAAATAAATTTAAAAAAAAAATTGAATCTTCTTTAAATACATGTACACTTAAAAGTTATTAAAATAAAGATCCTGACACTTTCAGCCGAGAAAAACCACGTTTAAAAAAGACTTACCACACCTATATACATAAACTCTGTAGAGTCTTTTTTTTTTTTATTTTTTTAAATTAAACAATCCGGAAGACAAACCCCTATGTGAAAAATGAGACGTAATCAAATTTTATTCATTCAATGCAATATTTTAAATCTGGAATGGAGTTTTTAAACTCACTGATTTATTTAGTTTTGCTCTTTGCCCGAGATCAGAACATACCGTTTGGTGGTTGAGTTCCATTTTCCACCCGGTGTTTACAGAGATAAATGAAAACAAAGACATGCATGCCGCATATGGTTGTGTAGATATATTATCGTAGAAGACGATGATAATAAAAAGTTTGCCAGAGCATTTTACCTGAAAGTGTAAATGAGTGCGTTTCTGACGAGGGGAGTGCTGGGTGTAAGTATTATTTAGAGAACGAGACGGGTTCTGTATCGTAGATACAAATTTGGGGGTGGACGAGTGCGTTGCACGAGTCTCCACCCCCAAATTTGTATCTACGATACAGAACCTGTCGAGTTCTCTAAATGATTTGTGACACGATCAATCAAATATAACTCCACCCACTTTATAACTTTACAGCATCCAAACTTCCGTCAGAGTTCTGTAGATGAGGCCCCGACGGGGGGTTCGCATCCGCAGTATATATATTTCCACGGAAAACGTAAAATTCGGTCAGATTAGTTTTGACAATTTAACGGGGTAGACGAAATCGAGTGATAGTTACTCTTAATGGATAAAGTGGAGGATTTAACCGTAATTGTTGTGATCTATAAATGGAGATTGATTATAATATTTTTCAGGGGTCTAACCTTAAAATCCCCGTTTGACTAGATTTAAAAAATCAGGATTTACAGAAAATTCTTCGATGGACTTTGATAGATCTATCACAGATTTTTATTTTCTAATTGAATTGCGACATTAAAAACGAAGTGAAAGAGATCGACGTGTGGTTGTCGTAAGCGAGAAGGATTTTAAAAAAATAAAAACGCAAAAAATGGACCTGAGTGATTTTGCACGAGGAGAGTGGATGTTTTCAGTTATCATGGTTATTGCGAATTTTCTTTTCGTTTGGATCAAAATTACGAGTAGATTATGTTTTCCGTTGTTGTGAATTTTCTTTTGGATCTAAATTACGTGTAAATTCTGCATGTTCTGCGTGGAATATAAGTGTTTATTGACATTTTACATTCTCAGGATTAATACCGGGTATTTCTCTAAAATTTATAATAGGAAAACATCATCATTTTACGATTTGTACGTGCTTTTGCGAAATTGAATCAGATTTATTTTTAGAATTATGGTTAGAACGTGCTGTATCTAAGATACAGAATAGTTGGCAAATACGGGCTAATACAGAACGGAAAGTAGCTCCGCCCACCAAAGTGTCGTTCTGTATTGCTAATACAGAACAGTAAACTTCAAAGAAAAACACCGCTATCGTGTCACAATTTGGAGTTAGATACCTTGTGTTATTATACTATGGGTCAAAAATTTATTACAGAAACAAGTGCCTGTGGTAAATACATATAGAATAGCCTTTGTGCATGTATAGATTGTACTACCACAATAGGATATTTTCATCTAAATGTTGCTTATTTCCTTTTACTGTTGCAATGATGTATATTGTAGATTTCTGCCATTTTCATGCATTAAAAAAAGCCATACATTGGAACATTTTTTAGAGGAATAGAAGATTATTTATTTGAGTTTTGTTTTTTTTTCCCTTGTCATTCATTTCGGTGCCCCCCCCCCCTTTTTTCTTTTTTCAAAGATATAATTAGAATGTTTATTTTTTATAATTACGATGAAAAATCTTAATTATTGATATTTTTAAGGGAATCAAATCATGAGTTTGAAAATACAAATATCATCAAATTATTATATAGTCCCTTGTTATTTAACGCTTTTACGTTATGAAAATTCATGCAGTTACGCACGCCTACACTGTCCGTCAAAGTAAATATTCCGTCTTTGTCATGCGATATTTTATACATTTATACACAGAAATATATGTCATGTTATACATCAAAAGAAAAGAGAAAGAAAAACTCTACAAGAATCAATAAAAAACTGAAAATGTCAAAATTCTTCGTTAAGGGAGGTTTTTGCTTGGCGCGCCACAAATGTTAAGCTGAAGTCTATAGCAAGTGTTTTCTTCTTTTCATGCATAAGATTTTGCACAAAGTCTGCTTCATATGAATAAAAAATAGGTCTTCTATTAACGGAGTGCAAGTGGTACCCATGGGAATTCCAATAGACTGTTGGAAGACCTGGTCTCCAAAACCACATAGATATTGTCAATCAGAAACTCAAGCATCTTTTTGATGTCAAATTCAGAGTTCTTGTGTGTGCAATCAGAATGTGTTTTAACAAAATAATTTTGCAAATGACCAATGACCAAGTAAGTAAATTTACGAGTTCCATTTTATTGAAAAAGCAGCTGTCAATGATATCAAAAAGCCTGGACTTTAATTTATTGTGGGGAATAGTTGTATATAAAGTTGAAAAGTCGTAAGTTTTTAAGCTGTTGGTTTTGGTAAAATCTTGTGATTTCAAATTATCCAAAGTTCTTTGGAATTCTTAGTATCCACTTCTGATTCACACCACTTCTTGAATATACATGTATTGTTGCACCGTACTCTTGAAGTTTTTCCTTCACTACTGTCAATATCTTAGAGTGGAGTAAAGAAAAAGGAATGCATACATGAAGTGAACTTACAATATAGGCTCTATAGTTTACCAAATATTACAGTACAAATTGGCTGTAACCCAACCCCAAATCTCACTTTGTGTTGGTGAGCTGAGGATTTATTAACAAAGATTGATTCCACATCAATGGGAAGAAAGGAAAAAAGAATCAATTACTGAGTGAATTTATCAGTAGTTTATTACTGCAATAAGCATAACAAATCAAAGCATATTCCACAGAGTTCCATTTCATTTGCAAACATTGTTTTAGTTTGATACATAGAAGAAAATTTACAAGATGTCCAGACATTGATATTAATAATGATGAGAGAGTTAGTTGAAGATCACAACATGTTCAAGTTTTTATAATTATTTATTTTCATTTTACATTAGAACAGACTAAAATTTATTGAAGACAAAAATATGAGGGAAGCAACTATACCATTAACTTTAAATAGAATTTTGAATAGAATTCAAATATTTCAAATATCCAAAAATTCATTTTAAAACATCAGATCTGAAATGTATTTACTAGTAGATGAAAAATGTCTAAACACAAATTTCAAAACATAATTGTATTGACCCTCCAAAATTTCTTGGTAGTTTTAATAATTAACACTATTGTACAAGTAGGTATTTTATTTTTTTTGCAATGCGATAATAACTTATATTAACCTCTCAAATGTCACCTTAGAGACAAATAGCAAAGCCCCCCACCACCCCCACCCCAAAAAAACCTTCTTACCTGTACTTCTTCATTTAACATGCTTTTGTATATAGATGTATTTATCGAATATCATGTAAAACAGTTTGAAGCAATTTACCCATATGAAAAAAAAAATGTTTAGGCTTTATTAGGTATAAAAAGGAATGTTTATTTAATGTATTTACTTCAACATATCAAGATATCTAAAAAAAAAAAGATTCATAAAAATAACATACCATAATTGATTTCTTAAAAATGCACCAAATGTTGAACATCTACACCAATATACTTAGTTTGTAACAAATTAAGTCCATTGGCTTACACATTATATATGACATGAGTGGATAACTAATTATACGACTAAAAGTACAGGTGGGCTAATTTCTATTGAACACTGACTTAGCTTTTTTGCTTGGTAAAAAGGATTATGTTAATACAGATATGTATGAAATTTGTTTATGAAAATGCATGTTCTCACTCACATGCTGATAAATATTCCCATGATCTGCATGAGAGAAATGATTGACAACTGCATGGAATAAACAAGCAAAATTGAAAGTTTCTAGATTTGTATATATCAACACTGAACAGCCAATTAACGGAAATTGTAGAGCATTAATTGTATTCGGTCCAGAAACATACACAGTTAACACTAACTAACCTCAAATGACAAAAATATCATTTCAGAGTAGAATGATTGTCCAAACTGCATACTCATAAGTGTATCCAACAACTATTACAACCATTTTTTTGTGCAAGAAACTTTATAATCAAACCTTGAACCTACTGTGACCAAGAAAGTTTAGTTCATTGAATCAGAGCAAGTGGCTGAAGAAACCCCTCTTTGATATCTGTTAATCTCTGACATCAGCTTCAAACTTCCCCACTAAATTAGCCTCCTTATAAAAAATGTTACACGGAGTAATTTTGAACCCTGGACTTTCTTAGCATACATTCCTGTCTGTCCACTCGTGAGCAATAAACACTAAAACTAAGCAGTACAAGGATTTCTTATACATTTCAACCAATGATCAACATTATCAAACATCACAGCAACCCAAACTATACTCACCCTAAACAAACTCAACAATGCATTAGATGACAAAAAAAGTCTAAATGAGCAGGGTACAGGCCATGTACTTAGATATTTTAAAGTCGTACATGCACTGATTCATGATTACTGCTCAACTATTCATGGGTTACTAAATAAACACCAACAGTTCTGATTCATGTCTTCTTAAATGTACTACTTAGACCATCAAATGCCCAGTATTATTCTTGTCAACAGTTCCCCAATAGAAAACTTGCATGGTTTCCCTTCGATAAACAATAAAGACATATCAACATAATGAAAATAATTTGAATGAAAAGCATTATTTGGGTATCAAAATAATGGAAATAGCAAAGGATTTCAATGATACTAAATTTGTTCAAGGTTGGAATTCTCTGTCTGCATGCTTACAAAAAGAACTCTACTTTGGAAAACTATACTTTTTTAAGTGGATTCATTAAACAAATCTGTACATTGGAATGTAATTTTCACTACAAACCTTTCAGCTTGTTCATCTATTCTTACACATGCCTAAATTTACCCTGTAAGAGTACCAAACATCTTACAATGACAGCAAGTAAAGTGTAAAACATTTAGCTTTCATTGCAGCAGAGTTAAATTTTACATACTCATATGTGTACATGTATTATCAATACCCAGTGCATCTTTTATGTTCACTTTACTTATAACCATAAGTGATATCCAGAAAAATACATTTATTTCTCGTCAGTGATTAAAACACTTGCTGCAATGAAATCTGAATGGCTTTACAGAACCAGTGCTCTACCAAACAAGTTTAACTCTGTTCATATCTTTTTTTCATTTGCCCATTCAAATCAAAAACAAGTATAAAAATAAATATAAATGTACCTGAAAAGGTAAATATTGCACAAATATATGGGGTATAAATTAAATGTATATAAAAACAAAACGAACAAAAAAATCAACAAAGTCACAACTATCACTTGATATGAATGACTATCTACCGTAATTTCGGGATTATAGGTCGATGGGGTATATAGGTCGAAAGGCTCATTTTCAGCCTTAAATTTTGAAAAATCCTAAGATAGGTCGAACTTACTATATAGGACGAGGCTTTGTTTCCCGTTTTCTTAAGATTTTAACGCAGATACAACGTATCAGAACAGGTAAACCCCTAAAATTATCGGGGTTATTCCGTGACATGAACGTATCAAGAAAATAAACAGGTATTTTAATGAGTACAGCAATTAAATACTGTTTTGTAAAACAATGTAGTTAAAACTTCTTTGAATTGTGTAACTACTTATTTTTCTCCAACTTGCCTGTTCAATGTCTCCGTAGTTTCACACTGTTGTTAAATCAGAGGCGTAAATAACACGTAAATACGTTATTATTTTACAGCTATAAATCGGGAGATACCCGAGACCAAAGAATAGTAATTCCGATTTCAGAACAACTTGGACACATTCCTAATAAATTTTACTCAAACATTATTTACCAGTGTACGACAATTACTTCGATGTCCGCCATTTTTATTTTTCTTCTCCAGGGATTTGCTAAAACACGCAAATGACCATTGAATGTATATATCAAGCAACAGTAAAGAATTGAAATCATATTAACACTTGATAAGTTTAATTTATAAATTTTAATTGAGAGTACACTCACAATTTGACTTTCAACATGAATTTCACGACATTGTTTGTTCAATGATGTGTAACACTAATACCCTATAATGGCACGTGGGTTTCTTAATCATGCCCCGCAGGCATTTAAACCAACAGTGAACACAGGTGTTAAACACCTTTGCGTACACAGTGTAAATCCCTTTATCTGTCAGACAATTAAAATTCTGTTAGAAGCCAATCTGTGTATACCGGTAATTCAATGTACTTCTTGTGTACGAAGCATTTAATAAACCTTATAATATTAGTTAAAACTATATTACTGTCTTAAATTATATTTCTGTTTCCCGGATTATTTCACTCGTTTTACATTTAAATAAACATAAGACAATAAAAAATATTTAATATACTATTTCAATTTATCGCTACTAATAAATGGTAAAAACACAACAGTTGTGATAGTGAAAATTTTCCGTATTTTAAATTTTGATACGGTTGCGGTTTTACTTTTAGTACACGATCGCGACTTCCTAACTTCACAAGATGGATACCGCATGATGTTAATGGATAATACGTTGAGGAATTATTTAATAGATATAGCAATGTTGTTTTCCTTTGTCATCAACAGACAATTAATGGAACTTATTTTGTAAGAAAGCTATAGAATAAATATTTTATTGTTTACTGGAGCATTAATTTTTTTGCGAAAATAATCAAAAAAGTTACGAAAGTGGCAGAGATTTGCTTTGAAATTGGCGTAAATTTTACTGATTTGGGGGCATTTTTCGTAAACTTGAGCCTTAAATAGGTCGAATTCTGAATATTGGTCGACCCCAGCGGTTCTGAGAAAAAAAGTATCGACCTATATTCCCGAAATTACGGTATTTAAGTTTGTCAAATGATGTTTCTAATTCAGATATAATACAATAGTACTACATGTAAATACTTGTAATTCGGGGTCAAAAAAGTGAGTCCTAACTACAGATTGTCACTTACAAGAAGTAGAAGTGAAAAATCCCTCTTTCATCACTAAAGAATTAGATTAGATTTCTCTCCAATTCACACTAAAAAATTCCTCAAAGAAAGGCAAAATCAAATTCATAAATTCTCCATTTCATACTAAACAGATTAATCTAAAATTCTTTCTTATTAAACATTAGAAACCATATCTTGAAGAGAAATTGCAGAAAATTTTATAGACTCTATAATCTAGTGTGAAGCAAGCTATGTACTACTAGATTATATACATGAAACTTTGAATTAAAATAATTTTTATAAATATTTCACACATGCTTTGATGCATGATTTTTACAGAAATTTCTATACAGCACCTGCTCAGTTTGTAAAGTTTCTTTCTCTTGTTAATGTAGACAAGTCTATGACATGAGTCCAACATTCAGCTAAGTAGACATATTCCTACTTGATACATTTACTATTTATGAACTTGGTATGCTTACATTACCAACAACATATAGCTAAACTACAACCTGCATCTCGGTGAGAATCAATGATAATATAGAGGAGAATATGCAAAATGGCTGATTTTTTTTTAATCGTACTATGACACATGCAAGTGTGTTTTAAAATGAATGAACACATAACTATTTGAGATGACTAGAAATGTTGTTCTTGTATTGCAAAACTATAAATTATCAGTATTACTGATACACTTACATCTTGGCACAACGTACATAAAAATGTCAATACTAGACTGAGAGATAAATTTTGATAAATATCAAATTCATATTTTTCAATATAAACTCTACAAAACATATAGTGATGTATATAATACCCAAAAAGTCATAAATTATACCATTATTTCCTTTTTTCCAGACTTAATTGTAATTTTTTAAGAGTCAGCCAAATATTACTTTTGTGTTTCTCCTCTTACAAATTAATTTTACCAGTGTCATGAGATGTCTTTCCTGCTGGAAAGTGAAGGTCTAATATGAATGATATTACAATGATAACAATATACCTATACATGTATATAGATAAAGAATGAAATACATGTACATGTAACACCATCGACAACAAAAAATACTTTCAATAAATAACAAATATCCTTGTTCATATCACAACAGTGCTGTAAACACTAATTAACAAATCTCTCCATTTTGTAGCCTTCTGGGAGGAATAATACATCAGAAGATCTAAATTAAGACTGTCTCCCCATACATACACAAACGTAACAGGGTAAACACAACAAAAAAGTCATGAGTTGTCTGCTCCTTTCAGATCTAATCCTCCAGTCTGTAAATTCTATCTTTTATTATTTGGTGAGTGAGATGAATGCCTGTTCAAGCATATGCTGAATGTACTTTCATTCTTTCCCCTTTTTTTTATATATTCATTGGCAGCTTCCTCCTTGACAAGGTTGATCTAAATAACAATATACAAAGATTAAGTCTAAAATAATAGAGAAAAGGACACCAATAAAAACATACTTGTATGTTAATATTATCATTTCTCATAACCTTGTTTATAATAGACAATGTTCTTTATATGTTAATGGATATCAGTCCAGGAATGGCTGTCCCAGACACCTGGTAAAAAATTTTGTACAAGCATACTTTTTAATTTACATTTTTACAACCTCATATGGCCTAGCATCACGGAGAATTAACCCACCTAATTTGTCCTGCCAGGAGAGGATTCAGAGCATACAACCAGTCATGGAAATCTTTATCATCCAGGGTCTGCATCAGGAATCCTCGGTGTTTTGTCAGCACAGAGAAAGTGTTCCTTACCTGCAATTTTAAAATAAAACCATTCAGATAGAAATATTGCTAATAACCCCTCTGATAATTAACTTACATATGTATACTGTTACACTGTACTTATTTAGAGTTATGGCTATAAGAGATAGAAATCTCCACTTCCTACCTTTAGCAGTGACTGCTGATCTTCACTGTATTCAATCTGAGCTGTAGCCAGGTTAATGATGGCTCGCTCCACTGGGTCCTTCTCAGAATTATAGATGTATATATATGGTCTGCGTACAACCTAAGAATATATGATAATCTTTCTTAATAACTTGTTTGTATAGTAAATTTAGTCGGTAAATTTCTGCACATTTCAAGAATGGTTGATAATTTTAACTTTATTTTTTAACATAGAAACATATGACTGAATCTAGTTTTTAAGGCAATTTTTACAATAACACAAGAAGACATATGTCAACATACCACATATTTCTTGACCCATCCAGTGTGTTTCTCCTCCAGGAAGTTGAGGTATCCTTTCCTGGACACGACAGGGCTGACTCTCACCTCGTCCACCAGGGGAATGTAATTGTCGTCGTCAGCGTTTGATTCGGGGGGTTTGATTGGGAGGGAGAACTTTCGGTCACTAAGGTCGGAGTTAGTGCTGGTAGTCAGACTGTCACATGACTTGGATACCTGGATACTGGGAGGAGGGGGGTTAGCATGTCTGTGGAAAATTATAATAATTAAATGTAGGATAAGATAAATAAAATATCTTATGAAATTTGATTGACTTCATTTCAAGACTTTATCAAATGATCATAAATGTGAAGTTTTAAAATTTTTAAAGATAAACATATATGTTATACAATGTATTTTGAAAAATGAGAGAGAAAGAGAGTTCACAAACCCTTCCACGTAAAAGGTGTAAGAAGTACCAATATCTAAATTTGTGCATGTATTTGAACCTTTATCATCCTCATGCATGTAAAACAGTGTGTTTTTATCAAATGGCATAAAATCAAGTTACCATAGGGGTTCGCAGTTAACTGTACATCCTTATATTGGCTGCAAACCTTTATCGGGTGCATACACATATTGTAATATATTTTATCACTGGTATGTATTTCACTCCTCATTACACATGTAATATACATACCAGCGGTATTTACAAATTAACCTTCATAATCAAAAGAAATGCCTTTTGCCTGACCTGCATAAATCTGAAGCTGAGGAGCTGGCAATGCTTGTGATCATAGACTGGTCACTAGGGGTCAGGTTCTCCTCACTGTCTGTGGTGGTGTTACTGAAAAGGGACTCGGTCATCACGGAGGAGGGCTAAAATATCATCAAAAGATTAAAGGATTTTAACTTATTCCATGTATACAGATGAAATACAGAAATGAAAGATAGGGTGATTTGTAAAAAAACAGAAACCATGGTTTCATTTTTTCTTGGTGTATGGATTTTTGTGTTTATCATAAAAAAAAATAAATGTACACAGAATAATATTTTAGTCAGGAAAATATTACATTGGTCTCCTTTATGACTCAGGTGACATAAAAATATAAAATTCTTTGCTATGAAGATTGTTTTTTTAAAAGATATACATGTATATGCCAGGAAATGGTTTTGCCTTGAGGGAAGATATTGGTGACTTTCACCTCCAACATTCCCCCCTTCATGATTCACATAACTATATCTACCAGAACTATCCCTGCAGTCAAACCTTGGAAATAAAACAAGTTTAATCTTTAAATCAAAAGCCTGAAAGGCTTCAATGGCATCGAACAAGAAGAACAATTTCAAAAGATTTGCAGATAGGTCAAGTGAGTGACTCCGGTAACATAATAATAAAATAAAAAAAAGTCTTGAACACAAATACATTAGGGCTTTAAGTCCTGGTCCGAATGAGGCAGGGTTCGAACTGACCAGACATCGTCAGAAATGTTCATGCTCAATATCAATCTAATTTCTTTTCAGTCAATCAAAGACCTATGAAAGGTTTCATAAATTATTCTAATTAATTGCCATTGTCAGAGTGTTGTTCTGTTGTATAGTGATTGCATCTAAACAACAACCATGACTCTACTGTTACAAGTACGATTGACTTATGATAGGGCGTGGTAAACAAATAGAGGAAATGGACTAGAAAACTGACCAGTCAGCAAGGGCCCCGCCATGGGGTAAAATTAAAAGGGTGCAGCCTACGGAATGATTAAAAAATGTACGAAGAATAAGCAACAGCAACTGTATTCTTAAAATTTCAAGATAATTCCTGAACATTCAAAAACCTAAAAATAATATTCTTGTACTTACATTAGGCAGTAAAGAACGACTTAACATTGAATGTATATATAAAGAATTATGAAGCTTGTGTTATATAAAATCCAGCCTTCAATGAATGCAAATATCTGTTATCATGAAGGCTTGACCTTAACTTCGAACAAACAGCAGTTGCAGACAAAGGTTTTCATTAATCTTAAAGTGACAGATAAAGAAAAGCCTACTCAATTTTCTGCAGCAGGCTAGATAATTAATCCCAAGGGATTAATTGTACCTCTCTCATCATTTTCTTCTAAAGTTACAATAAGAACTTTTTCAGTATTAATGATAGAATGGGGTTTTTATACAACTACCTTAAAAATTAATAATATTCTTGAATTAACATAAAGTGAAAAAAAAGTAAATCAAAAAATCTTCTTTAATCTATTTCTTGTTTTTAGAATTCAATGAAATCATAACTATTAAGCAAAAATAAATTATGAAAATTTATATTTAAATCCACATTTCAGAGTGTTCATAGCATTCCAAATTGACTTAACTTCAAAATAAACTTCATTTGCAGACAGAAGTGGTAATTCATCTCAATGTGACAGATAAAGATAATGCTCTGGATTTTCTTCAGGAGGAAAGCTAATTAATCCCAAGGGACTCATAGCAGCATTCAGTTTACAATGGGAACATCTTCAGCAGTTATCTCTCTTTGCCAATGCATTCTTATATAAAGTTAAGGAATCTACCCCACCACCCCAGCTCTAAACCAGGTGACATAGAGAAAAAAACTTAGCTCCAAAATATGTATTTCTGCCTACTGAACTACCATACCAAATTTGTACTTGATTGGGCAACCATAAAAAAAGTTGCCCATTCATTCTTATGCATAGTTAAGGAATCTACCCCACCACCCCAGCTCCAAACCAGAAGACATAGAGAACTAAACTTAGCATCAAAATATGTATTTTTGCCTGCTGAACTACAATACCAAATTTGAACTTGATTGGGCAACCATAAAAAAAGTTATTAGAAAAAAACAGAAAATTTGTGGACGGAAGAGTGACAGACGGACAGACAGACGGACAGACAGACAGACAGACAGACGGACAGACAGAATGATTACTATAGGGCACCCGCAAATCCTTGCGGGGCCCTAATAAATACAGTAACAACTGGCATTAATGGTCAATATCATCGGTTGTTCGGATAAAATTGGATTGAAGATTGTAAAAGTAAAGCTAATATTGAGAAATTCAATCTTTATAGCCTTGCTGTATTCATGTTTGTTTTGTAATTATTTTACCGTCTTTAAGATTGTTTGTATTACAGTAATCGGTCCCAAAATGTGATTCATGTCATTCGAACACCCCTCTGTAGAAATTCCCGCAACAACCATAACGTTTTTCTTGCGTAAAAATTAAACATAATATTGTTGTTTTGTAGTAGAATAAATTGAAGATACAATTGATTTAATTTTATATTCAAGCTATTATTCATTGTGAACGTTTTAAAAGAAATTGGTTTACAACTGTTGCTATTTTCTATTGTGGATGCATCCACTAACACATTTGGTCGCGTAAACCTGACTGATCGCAAGATGACGATCGAGCAAGCTCGACGCCATAAAAATCTTACTTCAAGTTTCAACAACCAGCAGAAAATTGACAAACCTTAAGAGAAGGAGGAGTCAGCAGTATTTTCCCTTGCAGAATAAGCCTCAGACATTTAGCTGTCAGTTCCTGCTCTCGGCTTCCGTCCGTTGTAAAATTGTACACACCTTGTCCTTGTCTCTCATACTTCTCTGTAGCGTCATCCTTCTCCCACTTCTCTATGGATTTTTCTTCGGAATTCTCTGTTTTATTTAGGATTTCCTCTTTCTCCTGATCGTGTTTGGCTTTTACGGACTTATTTGAGGCTTCTTTGTCTAGTTTACTGAGTTCATTTGTCTTGTTCTGTTCAGCAAGTTTCTCTCTCAGAAGCAACACATGACGAGATTTCTCCACCTAGCATAGCGAAAATTTAATAACATTTGCTTTACATGTACAGTATTTGTAATGTCAAAGTCTCAAACATTTATAAACAACAATATACAGTGAAACTTGTCTAATCCGCATGTTGTGAAATCCAAAATCTTGCCTTATACGATGTTAAATTTAAATCCTTTTTATCAAATTCATTTGTTTTCTAATCCAGAATGTAGACTTATCTGGCCAATTTTTTGGGAAACAGCAGAGCCCTAATTACACAAGTTTTACTGTAAGTACAATGTATCTAAATAAGACATGAACCAACCAATCGATAAGGTTTTATACTATGAAAATCCTCTAAAACAATTAAAGAATTATCTTTTAATTTTCTATTAATTCATCATATGCTGCAATCAACTGACCAGTTCTAGCCTGGTGAGTTTCTCCAGCTCCCACTGATGGTCAAATATAAGTGAGTCCCCCCGGGGCCTCCATCCATTGAGGTTCTCCTCCCCCCTCACGTAGGTAGAGGAGGTATCCAGCACCCGCCTCTGTCTTCTCTGGGCACCTGTAAGGGATTCAGAATACATTTATACCATTTCTACACGAGCCTTAATTTAATTTGCAAAGAAATTGTTATTTCATGAGATACTGTGTACACTGTAAATAAGAAATTTTAATACAGAGTTGTTCTTTGAATCAAAATTCAAAAATTGTGCTTGTGCAAGAAATATTATCAGCTCTGATTATACTGACTGTGAACTCATGCACATTCAATGTATACCGAAATAATCACACACTTGTACAGTACATATAAAAACTTGTGCACTGACTAATGACATGTTGGGAATGGTGCATATACTGGGTATATATCAAGTATCTACATTTTGAACATGTATCAGGTAGTTTTATAAAGTACACTTGGTAACTAAAACAAAGAAAAATTATAAAGACACAAGTCTTATAATTCATGGAGATCTTGAAATGTAATTTGGACCTACTTACTGCTGGTTTGAGATTACATGGGGGTGGGGTGGGGTAAGTGCAATAAACCACACAAACACAGGTAGTACGTGGGACAACAGATACCTGGACTACCTGATTCTGAGGCCCGCCGCAGGAACAACTCGTAAATACCGCTCACACGGTTAGCATCCAGAGACTTGCTACCTCCAAATAAACTCCTGAAAGTCCTAATTTAAAAGAAATCAAAGATTTTTCTAAAACCTTGTTTAAATGAAATTTTTTCAGTTCTTATTTCTTTTTTGTAGATGCTTTTTTTTTTTTTTTTTAATTTGTACCTGGAGTTAGTTATTTTTGTGTCTCTTGAATGGATAACAATACTTAAATCTTTGGTAATACAAGCAGGTTGCTGACAGTTTTCCACCTGAAAAATAAATTGAAAATATATATGAACAATCTTAATAACTAGCATAAACTGCAACAAAGGTAAGCATTGAATCTTGAAGAGAACAAAAGATGATGGCAATGTTTTCAAACCTCAATGTAGGCTGAGAGAGTCATGTAAATTCTGTCCCCAGAGGCAGTGACTTTGTTCAGTAAATGTGAGTTGTGGAGAGAGCTATCCCATGCAGCCTCAAAGCGAAAGTAG